TGGTCGTACTGGTATATAGAAAAAGAGAGAGAGAGAGAGAGAGAGAGAGAGAACAAACAAAAAAATCAGAGGTAGGGGGATGACCAGGGCGACGTAGAGAAAGAAAGAGGAGGAGGACGACGACAACGAAGACAAGGAGAAAGGAGAGGAGGAGAAGAAGCTGAAGGACGAGGAGAGGGATACTGAGGACGGCGACGGCGACAAGAAAGGCGACGACGACGACGACTTTTCATCAGCGAGGGGGGCTGTGACAGTAAGGACGGTGACCCTATGCCAACACATAACTCTGCGTCCTGGATAGTTTACAGTACAGACATCTGGAACCCGCTGCCTGGAGAGAATATCCTCAGTGTGTCAAGCGCGCTGGTACGGTGCTCATTCTAGCGCTGGCTGGAGGGCTGGGCGTACCCCACGGCGAAAGGGATTACCCAAACAAAAACCTAAAAAACCTAGCTGCCTCGGCTTCGGCACCCTCGTCGGGGAAAACGACGTTTTCGTGCTCACCGCTTGCTAGCTCTAGCTGCTCGTGGCTGGCTGGCTCAGGCTCTTGGGGCAAGGGAGGCTCAGGACGACGGCGACGACGACGACGACGAGCGGCGGTTCTTCCAGTCGGGCGGCGCAGCCGAAACTTCGCGCCCCGATTCAGTGCCAGAGCCTTCCTTTCAGCTCCTGCATGAATTGGAACACCTCGGCGGCGATCGCTGGACGGGGAGGAAAGCAGGGGGGATGGGGGCGAGGGAGCACCGGGTGAAGGGGAGGGGGGGGAGGAGGAGGGGAGGAGCGGGGGAGGGAGAGGGAGAGGGGTGGGAGAGGGGGGAGGAGGAAGGGGAAAAGGGGGAGGGAGGGGGGGGAGGAGGAGGAGAAGGGAGAGGAGGGAGAGCCTCCCCCCTCCCTCCCCTTCAGCATCCCCCCTCCCTCCCCCTAGACCCCCCTGACTAACTCCAATACTCTCTCTCTCCCTTCCCCGCTGCCCCGCTTTCCCCACGCCAACGCGCTGCCAGGACATGTCCTCCGCCACAGGCTGCCTCGCTTTTTCTAAACCGATGGCAGCGCGGGGTGTGGGGCGATGCCGGCACGTGGCTTGCATGTTACCAGACAGTCGCGATGATGAAGCAGCGATAAGGGGAGGCAACAGAAACCGGCTGGAAAATCGTAGTTGGAAATATCTAGAAACAATAACTCCACGGATCTTAAACCCATTAGTGGAGCGCGCCGCGCGCGAATCCGCCACGGGCCGCCTCTTTGAGAGCCTCGGGGCACCTGGACTTTTTGTAGCAAGCCTCCAGAAACCCAAACCGACGGAAGACCGGCAGCCGCGATTTTCTGGTGACGCCCGAGGGCTGGGCACCTCGGCAAAGTTGACCTCCGGGCATTTCCAGGGGCGCCACAGTGTCGAGGCGGATCCAGCTGTGGCCAGGATGGCGCCCTAGGATGCCCAGCGAGGCCTGAGGCCTGAAGAAAACGGCATCATCCCTCCCTCCCTCCATCCCGCCTCCTTCTCCGAAGCTGTTTTTCCTCAATCAGGCATGCTTCGGAGGTTCCCCAGGTTTCTCGGGTTCCCCGCCCTGGTTATTGGTCTTGTTCCCCAGCGGTGCCAAGCAACGCCAGGAACCATCAAGCCACGCCAGGCGACGCCAAGCAGATCAAAGCCGTGCAAAGAAACGCCAAGCAATGCCAAGCAACGCAAGGCAATGCCAAGCAACGCCAAGCAATGCCAAGCCGTTTAAAGTAACGCCAAGCAACGCCAAGCAATGCCCAGCAACGCTAAATAATGCCAAGCAACACCAGGCAGCGCCAAGCAATGCCAAGCGATGCAAAGCAATGCCAAGCAGTGGCAAGCAGTGCCAAACACTGTCAAGAATTACTAATTCTAAGCAACGCCGCGTAGGAAGTGTCCCCCTAATTGGGGTCGCGCCGGGTTCATTGTCTCGAAACGTGCCCCCCCCAGGGCTTCAATCTCTTCCTGGTGCCACCTTTTTAATGCTATGTCGTTTTCCGACGGCCCCGGCCGCGAGAACGGCCCCCTGAAAGACGAAACACACGGTAGACCTCCCGTCGAGATTGTCACCAGAACGCGTCACACCCTGAGATTCGACGCCACGAACAAAAACCCAACATCGCTAAAAATCGCGACCGGAGGCCCAAGCCTCATCTTTCTCTCTCTCTCTCTCTCTCTCTCTCTCTCTTTCTCTCTCTTTCTCTCTTTCTCTTTCTCTCTCTCTCTCTCTGCTGCTTTTTTCGCGCAGCATCGATCCGCCCGAGCCCCGGGGCCCGCTGCAGGACGAAATCGCTGGGCGTGGAAAAAATGCGACGCCAGGGAGGAGGAGGAGGAGGAGGAGGAGGAGGAGGAGGATGGGCCTGCGTCCTTCCCTCCCTCCCCCCTGTCGGCGAGGGCCTTGGTGGCCACCTCCTGGTTCTCGGGGTTCTTGTCCGGATGCCACTGCAGGCGCAGCTCCGCGAGAACGGCCTCCCGGGCCAAGAGGGGAGAAAGAAGGGGGGGGGCGGCCTGTGCGCCCCCGCCGTGTCTGACACCCAGCCCCTCCCGCCCAGCCCCGCCCATTCCGTCCCACTGCGCTGCTTCGTTCTCTGTCCCGGGACGCGTGTCACAGCCGACCTGGAACTCCAGAAAAAGACCCCAACGTGTTGTGCGCAATCGGAAAAGGGGAGCTGCGTACATCGGAGGAGTTTCAATCCGGCGCGGCGCAGAGCGTGCCAGGGCACTGCGAGGCGACTCGGGCACGGGCCCGACAAAGGAAAGAAAAGAGCCCGAGCACCTCCCCATCAGGGGAGTGCCAGCAGGCGCAGCCAGGAGGCCTACGCGCCGTCGGCGGAATCGTCCTCGACCAGGTCTCCGACCAAGTCGAGTGCGAAGTCCGCGAACGGCCGTGGCCTACCGTGGCCGCTGGCCACGGGCAAGGGCAGTCCAGTGCGGGGGTGCTGTCCTGCCCACAGGCGTCCCAGTCGGGGCCGCGTCTGCGTGGGAACGGCCCCCAGGCAAGGCTGCGCGAGGAGCTGGGCGTTCTCGCTCGAGTGCGCCCCGCACCTCGCGCAGAACAAGAAAGGGCTCACGCTCCAAACTCGGTGGCCGCCGCCTGGCTTACACGCAGCAGGCGTGAAAGCGCCGCGTGCCCTAGCGACGCGGTAGCTGCGTACATAGGAGGAGGAATAGGAGGAGGAATAGGAGGAGGAGGAGGAGGAGGAGGAGGAGTGGCGGGTGAGCAGAAGAATGAAAGGAGGAAAAGAGGAAGATGAGGAAGGAGGACGAAAACGAACAAAACCAGCAGGAATTGGAGTCTAAGGAGTAGGAGGAGCAAGAGGAGGACCAGGGGAAGGCGGAGGAGAAGAAATGAGAGGGGCGACAACGATGAAAGAGGACTCGGATCCAGAAAAGTGGCCCGCGCTGGGGCGAGAGTGCCAGAACGACGGGAGCATAGCGCCAATCCGAGAAAGAGGCACACGCTGCAGCGGGAGCTTCGTTCTGAAAACCCAAAACCATCGGGTCGGGAAAATTAACCCGGCGCGAGAAGAATTAGGGGAACGCTGTCTAAGCGGCGTTGGTTCGAATTGCTTGACATTGCATTGTATTGCATTGCTTGGCATTGCTTTGCATGGCGTGGCGGCGGGGTTGGCGAAGTGTGCTGCGGCGAGAGACGTCTCCCCTGTGCCCACCACGGCGTGATCCTCGCGAAGGGGAGTTCGAGCTCGAACTAAACGACGTCATTGCGATTGCTGCACTGCACGCCATTGGCTGTCTAGGATGGCGTTGTTGAAGCAGCCCGACCCAAGAGCGGCGAGGACGTAGAGTAGCAGGACCAGTGGGCCGCGCGCACGGACGCCTGGGGCGGACAAGGACTTGTAAGCGACTGTGTCTGGGGCGGACCAGGCCTGGAGTATGAAGTTGCCAGGGGCGAGCCAGGTCTGGAACATGGAATTGCCTGGGGCGGACAAGACCTTGCATATGGACTGCCTGGGGCGGACCAGGGCTTGGAAGTGAGAGACTGAGAGAAACGTTTCTGTCGCACCCTGCTGGAAAGGAGCCTACCCCCTACCCCGCAAAGGCAGTGGATGTCGTGAGCCAGAATGCCTTGAGCCAAAAAGGCTACGGATGCTGATGGTGATGATGATGATGGTGATGATGATGATGGTGATGATGATGATGGTGATGATGATGGTGATCGTGATGATGATGGTGGTGATGATGATGCTCATAATGATGGTGATGATGATGCTGATGATGCTGATGATAATGATGACGATGATGGTGCTGATGATGATAATGGTAATAATGATAACGGTGACGGTGGTGGTGGTGGTGATGTTGATGACGATGCTGACGATGATGATGATGGTGATGATGATGATGATGGTGATGATGATGGTAATGATGATGGCGGTGATGATGATGCTCATGCTGATGCTGATGCTGATGATGGTGATGCTGATGATGATGACGCTGCCGATGACGATGATGATGGTGATGATGGAGATGATAATGGTAATGATGATGATAATTATGACGATGATGATGATGATGATGATGATGATGATGATGATGATGATGATGATGATGATGATGATGATGATGATGATCGTGGTGGTGGTGGCGGTGATGGTGCTGGTGATGGTGCTGGTGATGGTAATGGTGATGATGATGGTGACGACGACGACGACGACGACGCCGACGACGACAACGACGACGACGACCACAGGCGACGACCACGGGCGCCGACCAAAGGCGACGACGAGGGCGCCTTGCGCCCTTCCTCGGGCAGGGCGGCCGCCGCGCGCAGCCTCGCGGACACGTCCGCCACGGCGGCCTGCAGCGGGTCGGCGGGGCTCCGCCTCTCGGACGCGCGAGACGGCTGCTGCTGCTGCCGTCGCCGCCGCCGTCGTCTTCGCTGTCGCCGTCCACTTCTTCGCTTTCGCTGTCGTCGTCGTTCTCGTTGTCGTCGTCGTGTTCGTTGTCGTCGTCGTCGTCGTTTTGTCGTCGTCGGCGTCGTCCACGGATTCGCTTTCGTTGTCGTTGTCGTTTTCGTTGTCGTCGTCCACGGACTCATTTCCGTTGTCGTCGTCGCCTTCGGTGTCGTCGTACACGGGTTCGAGGTTCCATGATCTAGGATCGAGGTGGTTGGGCGCTCTTGGCCCTTCCTGGGCCTCCTGGGGCCCCCTTCGGAGTTCTCTCCGGAGCGCACCTCGACTGGTCCCGAGGGGGATTTTTGAGGAGAGGCCCTGACAAGGCCCAGAACCCCCGCGACATGGCCCTGCATGAACTCGGAGACCGCCCCGAGGTGGCCCCAGGTCTGCCCGAGACCGCCCCGAGACGCCCCAAGACCCCTCCAGGAGTGCCCAGGGCTTCCCGGCTTGAAGGGCCCAGAGAAGGGCCCCATCGAGACCACAGGGGCACACCCTCGCCGCCGCCGCCGCTGCCGCTGTCGCCGAGCATCGAGAGAGTTTCGAAGCTCGGGGATCGAGGATCGAGGCGCCCCGCTGCCGCTGCCGGCGCCGAGAATCGAGGTCCGCGGCGCGAGAACCAGGGGCGATAGAAACCTTTTCGGGCCCTCGGGGGCCTCGGAAGCCCCCAGGGCCTCGTCGACGTCGTCGCCGTCGCCGCCTCTGCAGGGACGGGCACGAGGAGGGGCTGGGAGGGGCGGAGGGGGAAGGGCAGGAGGAGGAGGAGGAAAGGGAAGGGGCAGGATGGGCGAGTCGACAAGCTTCACGCAGGAGCGACCGAGGGCAAGAGTGCCCTTTGCGCACGGCTCCTGGGGGGGGGGGGGGCAGGCCCTGGCGCGCCGGCCCTATGCTGGGGGGGCCGCACCCGAGGTCACTCCAGCGAAGGGCCAGTCCCGCGAGTCGCCGAAACAGGAGCAGGGAAGCTATGGCTGGAAGAGGCACCCACAACATCAAGGGGAGCTACGACCAGAGGGTGAACTGCTGCCTGGAGAGAAGCTCCAGCCACGAGGAGAGCCACGACAGCAGGGGCAGCTACAGCCAGAGAAGCCACGAATGGAGCTACACCCACCAAGAGGGCTCAACCCATGATAAAAGCTGCATTGTTTGGAACCGTTTAGAACGAATGCGCGCGGCGCTATGGCGAGAGCCACACTTTGAAAACCACCCACCCTTAACCTGTGAAATTCCGCACATTGCTAAAGCTAATGTGCTCAACTTCAAGGCGAGAGCCACATTTTGAAAACCACCCACTCTCAATTCGTGAAACTGATGTAACCTTTTAGAACGAATGCGCATGGCGCTGAGGCGAGAACCACATTTTGAAAACCACCCGCCCTCAATCCTTGAAACTCCCCTGCAAACGTTTGCTGCACCAGAGAAACAAACAAAAATAAAGGATGGCTTTCGCTGAAGAGATCGACCGGGAACCCGGGAGCCCGGGAACCCAGAACCCACCGAAGTCGGCCCGGAACCAATAACCAGGAACCCGGGAACCCTGAACCGGGAACCTGGGAACCCAGCCTGCTACCAAAATCGGCGGGAAACTTTCGCCAAATCTTCCAACTTCCGCGAGGACCCCTTCAGTGCAAGCACTGATTGGGGAAAACGAATGCGCGCGGCGCTATGGCGACAGCTACAATTTGAAAGCCACCCGCCCTTAATCCGCGAAACTCCTGCGATTTGTTTAAACGAATGTGTGCGGTGATAAGGCGAGAGCCACATGTTGAAAACCACCCGCCCTCCGTCTGTGAAACGGTTGTCAGTTGTTTTTACGAGTCAGGGCCATACGTGGTGAAGAAGTCTCAGGCGAAACGCCCAGCCCGCCCTTTCGACCAGCCTCGGGGTGCGACAGGGAAGAGTCACCGATGAGGAAAAGGAATGGAGGAAGTTGGAGGAGGAGGCGAAGGAGGAGGAGGAAGGAGGAGGAGAAGCAGGAGAGGCAGCAGCAGCAGCAGGAGGGGCGGGAGGGGCAGGAGCACCAATGGAAGGGCGGAGGGGAAAGGGAGCAGCAGAAGCAGGAGCAGGAGCGGGAGCAGGAGCAGCAGGAGGAGCAGGAGGAGCAGGAGGACCAGGGTCGGCGGCGAGGCGGGTCCTTTCAGAAAGCTCGGGCGCCCCTCAACCTCATGACAAGTGTTCTGAGCCTTCCGCGAAGGCACAGAAAACTTCTCAGAAGCCGCGAGGGTGTCCAAGAAGTCCCGCCGCCTTCTGAGGATACCCTTTCCTCATCATGTCCCCCCCCTCTCGGTCGCCGCCGAAAAAGGAAGGCGAAGGAAGGCAAAGGAGGAAGGGCGACGACGACGAGGCGGAAATCGGATCCAGAAATGTGGCCCGCGCTGGGGCGAGAGCGCCAGTCTGAAAGACGGGAGCCGCGCGCGGATCCTGAGATGAGGCCACCTCTGCAGCAGAGAGCCGATTTGCATTAAAAAACGCATGTACAAACCATCGAAACTATTGACACCGGCATGATGCACGTTCGAAAGGCATGCGGGAGAAACGGCGCCCCGCTCGCACAGTGTATGGGGGAGAGGGGAGAGCAGCCACCATAGTGAA